TATTCTTCGCCATCAGTTTCAAAGTAGGTAGAAAGTAACGTGTAATCTCGATTTTCAGGACAGGTCACGATCGAGTTCTACGTCGATAGAGAGACCAACTATATCGTCTTCCATAGTAAAAATTTGACAATAAATGAGAAAGTGAGTGCCCTGACCTTCTACCGCCATCGCACGTGAGAGAATTACATCTAGTTTACCTAATAACCTAAATCTGATTTGACTTGCAGATGGTTCAAGACCGTAAAGGCCACAGATTAAAAATCGCCAAGCTGCTGGAATATCCGACACACCAACAGCTGTACCTAGAACTGGAGGAGAGTAAATTTCGCAAGAGGGGGAATTACACGGTGCACCTGAGGTTCATCTCGAAGCTGACGAGCGAACTCGAGGGGTTCTATCTCAGCAGCTACGTCACCCCGGAAGGAGAAAAGAGGTCACTCTGAAACTGTAATAATTTTCTGTTTGGAGAACATTGCTCAAGGCGCGCTTTCATCGCCGGCGGACGAGTGATGGTGACTGTGTGCTTTTCCCACCCCCTTAGGTACCTCGCCACCACTCATTTCGAGCCGACGTACGCACGCTCGGCGTTCCCGTGCTTCGACGAGCCGCAGTTCAAAGCGAAGTTTAAGGTCTCGATATTCAGGGACAGATTTCATATCGCGCTGTGCAATATGCCTGTAATGAACACCGAGGACGCGGGATTTTACATGGGCATGGGACTTGTGAGTACACACACACACACACATATATATATATATATTTTCAAGCTCGAGTCGAAGGTTCAAAATTAACCATTTGCACTCGACTGTTCCTTCTGAGGGAACATTAAGCCTAAAACTAACAGGACTTTGCTGATAATTATGACGAATTAGGTGTTGTACAATGCGATGTATAATAGTATAATAGTATAACAACTGAAATAGGCACCATAAATTAGACTTCTTATTTCTTCTTACGAAAGTTTAAAAACTGGCAGAGGATGTTATTTTCTGCAGAGATTGAAACCATGTATCATTAATTTTTATATATTATACTTGTATACTCTAGTAAACTCGCTAACATGATTGCTTAAACGATATCATGTTAGAAAGATACAGTCAACAAAATTTCGTGTTAACCACAACGGACCGTAACGAGTGACCAGACCTTTGCGGACCATAACGAGTGACCAGACTTTCGCGGACCATAACGAGTGACCAGACCTTCGCGGACCATAACGAGTGACCAGACCTTCGCGGACCATAACGAGTGACCAAACCTTGTACAATAATTCGTCGCTCTCTTTTTGAACTTGTACAATAAATAAGTTTATTTAAATATATTTAAAACTGAGAAAATATTGCAACTTTGGGACAAAAAGTTCTCGACGTGTGTGGCACGTTATTTCGTATGTTATATCGTTTTACTTGCGACGTGAGGCTGATAAATGATACGACAGATGTTTGTCGAGGGCGAAAGGTTAAAATCTCATCGTTTGGAGTATCTATGCACCAAATGTGGATAAATTTTCAGCTCCGCGACGATTTTCAAGAGTCTGTCGAAATGTCGACGTACCTGGTGGCGTTCGTGGTTTGCGACTTCAAACGCGTTTCCGAGCTGACGAAGAGGAACATTTCTGTGAGCGTGTACGCGGCAGAGGCGATGCTGCCGCAGGCGAAATACGCGGTGACAACGGCTGCTCGTATAATGGATTACTTCGAGTCATTCTTCGGAGTGCGTTACCCGCTGCCTAAGCAAGGTGAGTTGCTTAAAAATCAGGATTCAACGTGAGACACTGACAAAGTTGACAAAAACTTTCTGCTAGACCTGATAGCTATTCCGGACTTCGCCGCTGGCGCGATGGAGAACTGGGGCCTAATCACGTACCGAGAAACGTCCATACTGTACGATCCCCAAGAGACGTCGACCTACGCTCACGAATGGGTGGCCATAGTCGTTGCTCACGAACTGGCCCATCAGTGGTTCGGTAATCTAGTGACGATGAAGTGGTGGAACGATTTGTGGCTGAACGAGGGGGCAGCGAGTTTCTTCGAGTACAAGGGTGTGAATCACATCTCGCCCCAGTGGAGCATGATGGATCAGTTTATCTTAGACAAAACCCAACCGGCGCTCGATCTCGACGCGTTGGCCAGCAGCCACCCTATAAGCGTGCCGGTTAAAGACCCGAACGAAATCGAAGCGATATTCGATGACATTAGTTACAGTAAGGGCGCTTCCATTCTCAACATGCTTGAGGGCTTTTTATGCGAGGACGTTCTGAAAAGCGGGCTGAACGACTATCTGAATTCGCACGCGTACGGGAATGCAGACACGAACGACCTCTGGGCGGTCTTTACAAAACACGCGAATAATACTTTCGACGTGAAAGTAGGTATAACTCTTAGGAAACAACAAACTTTTTCATATACATGTAATACTTTCGATAGAAAATTCCATGAAAATACAACCTGTAGATACCTTGTGTGTTCAGAGAACTAAGAATCTTTTGAAAATCTTGGAATTGTAAGAGCTTATGGTAGAGGCGAACTGTTTCCTTCGCAACATATAGTCTTATCGCTCTCCTCGGCCCTGTCAGTTTCTAATGCTTCGTCAAATTGAATGTGTCGGCAGGCTATTATGGATACGTGGACCCAGCAAATGGGTTTCCCTCTGATAACGATTACGCGTAACGGGAATACCATCACGGCGACTCAACAGAGATTTCTAATATCGCCAAAAGAAAACGATACAGAACAGCAAGAATCAAAATCGCCCTTTGACTACAAGTGGTATGTCCCGTTGAGCTACTACACAGACAAAGAACCGCGCAAGATTCACAACGTATGGATGAATTTAACCGATGGTAACATATAGGACAAATTATAACGAACATTGTTTTTTTTTGTTCACTTCTAGAGATGTTTAAGATCAGCGTTAGGCGAAAAAAAAAAAAAAAAAAAAAA